CGATGCCAAAACGAATTCTGTGGCTCGAATGGTTCTTGAGAAACTTCGAAAAAAGCAGCGTCATGTTCAAGTGGATTTTGCAACACAAAAAAAACTACGCAAATCTAAAACTTCTTGAATTCAAGCATTTTTTGAGAAAACTGCCAACAATTAGCCATTCATGGTTCACTTGCTAAAAAGGCCATTTATTTCTCTCTATAATGATGTACAAATGAGCGTTCTTGCTCATTTTGCCTCCGAGAAACATGCAAAACGGAACGGAAAACATGAAATTTTGCAATAGTCTTGCGCCACCCTTGGACAAAACGACGATAATTTTTCTAATTTCATAGACAACAGAAGACTGAATTTTTACCTGAATGTTGGCAACCGCTCGAGTGTTCCATTTGCGCATACCTCCACTCTTTTGCCCATAACTTCCCCAGCTCTGAAGATATTTCAAAAGTTCCAAAACTCCCAAAAAGCCCACAAAATAGGCTTCAAAAACTATTCCAACCTCAAATTCGATAGCGGCAACAACAAAATCTAACTATTACTCAAATGCCCTCGACTCAAACTGGTCTTCTTTTCCAGATGCAGTTGCGCGTTTTATTGCGCTTGAATTACTTTGCAAGTGTCCGGACTGCAGCATCGCAATGTCCTCTTTGAGGGTTGTGAGACGGCGCAGCTGTGGAGTCTCACAGCGTCCATGTGGGACGTCGAGGGCGTCGCGGGCGTCTCTTAGGACGCAGTGATGTCCACTGCCCGTCGACTAGTCTTAAGTCTCAGAGGTCGCAAGCAATCACAGGTTGGTACCACATTTAAGAAAACACTTGTCGTTCACCTTGTTCACTATCGTGATTTTGTAGTTTTATTTAAGCCCAAAAGTGTGCAATTTTTTCCAGCTTTTAGGTCGAAGCACCTTTCCTATAGCTTCCGATATGTCAGCCACACACCACCTTTCACCTTGTTGAGCACCGTCCAGGGCAAAAACGCAAAGGGAAGGTGGGTTTTCTCATCAAAGCTCACCTGGAATCTTCTGATTATCTCCACTATTCCCATCTTCACTTGCATGGCCCCAAAGCGCTGCCCTAAAGCACTCAATTGCAGTTGAAATGTCCCCATTTCCCCCAAATTCTCGTGGTACCTAAGCAAACTCTATGCCCTCCCCCAAACGGATAAAACACCCGTTTGAAGCCCTGTCTGTCCCTGTCCAGAAACCGCTCGGGGCTGAAAGCCTCCGGACGGGGAAAGTAGACTGGATCATGGCAGAGTCCACCAAAGGGAACAAAGCAGACGGTTCCTGCGTCGATGTTCACCTCCATTCTTTGCAGATGTTTTGGGGATTCGCTCGGGGTTTTGTAGATGTATGGGCGGCTGCACACTCTAGTGTAATGCTCCAGAACGGGGCAAATTCTCATCGATTCAAACAAGCAGGCGTTCAAGTAGGGCATTTTGGCCAGTTGATCGTGGCCAATTTCATTTTGCTCTTCAATTTCCGCCCTCAACCTGGCTTGGACCTCTTGGTGTCTGGAAAGGTTGAACAGCAGGTAGCTCATCACCAGAGCGGACGTCTCGTATCCATCTAGAATGCGACCTCATTTGCTCAATTTTTCCCCGACTGAACTGCTTGGATACCTTCGAAGAATGTGGCAGCATGCCCAGCGATTTCTGCATAGTTGAGGCCCCCCAGCTGTGCAATAAACTGCAGATAGTCGCTGGCGATGACTTTATTCTTCTTGCGGTGTTCTAAGGAGTCGGTTATTATTTGCGTCAGGGTGTCTTCCACTGCTTTGGGTATCGCCCTGGAACATCCAGGAAGGAATGCATTTCGTGCAGGTTTGCTGTACTCACTTGAGCGCAACCAAACGGCTAATCAAAGGGAACATTTGGAGCATTGAGAGTGCGAAACTCCCAGGCGCAATAAAGGAATTTGCCAGCCTCATAAAGTCCGATTCCTCACTTTCAAAGCATTTTCCATCGATCCCGAAAGCGGAGAGAGCCACATTGTCCAACGTGAACCTCCTGCAGAGATTTTGCGTTTCAATCGTGTGCCCCAGCTCGATATTCGGCTGCGACTCTAAATACTTGGACAGTCGTTGGTTCACGTTTACGATCAAGGGAAACAGACTTTTCATCTGGAAAATCGATCGATTTAGAGCATTTCTTCGGTGGAATGTTCGGAAAATGTTGACCTTTCCGCTGGTGAAGCCGGGCGAGAGCAGCGTTCGCGTAGTCTTCCATTGCTGGTCTTTTTGGACAAAGGGGCTGGCGCCTTGCATAGCGTCCAGCTTTGGATCCACTGAGAAGTCATTGTTGAAAAAAACATGCGAGTCTTTGACTAGAATCTTGCTGATCAGCTCCGGATCTCGCACTATTAAAACTGGCTCGTTTGCTCGGTAAGCTCCAACTAGTGGGAGTGTGTCATAAGTGCTGGAATATACAGGGTGTGAGTTTGACAAATTTTTTTAAGCGAAATACCCAATAAGAAGTTTGTAAAATTTGAAAACTTCCCATTCTTGCAGATGAAAATATGGAAAATTTAAGTCAAYTTTTTTTGTAAGGGAATATTTTTAGCCTCCTCGTTTCAACCCCCTAGGACGGGTCAAGTGGCGCATCGTTTTAAGATGCGTTCAATTCTCTTTACACTAGTTATTACTTCATATTTTTACCTGCAAGAAAGATATTAAGGGAGCGAAGCTGATCTCTATTTATCCGTCTATGAAGCCCTTGCGTATCCACACTGATTTGCATTTATCTTTTGGAGCTGATCTATTTGCTGATACTTACTGATAGATTTCTCTGAATATCTGCCCAACGGTTTTTTGCTGTGTGAAGCTTTGCACAATGTTTCCAAAGAAGGGCCAGGCCTTAGGAGCCGGCACTCCTCTCCGCTCCCAATAGGAGAATCGGCGCCTAATCAAAAAAACCACCAGAACAACCGCAAGGCAAACCAGCACACAGACCATGGCTGCAGCCTGTTACGTTCTTGACATCAATCTTGAGCTGCTGAAGCTCATTAAAGCATTAGGCTTATCTTAACGACCGCAATGCGAACAAACACGATTAATTCATAATCTCATTAGGTTATTTGGCCTGGTACAGGGTGTCCAGTTTTCAATGTTTTATCGCGTATTGCCTAAAGTTGCAATGAGCCAAAAAAAGGGTTTCTTTGGGCTTTTGATGTTGCGGGGTTGAAACGTTTATCGCCAATCTCAGGTTGTAGAATGTAAAGTAGGTAAGACTGGAGTGTGTTCCAGGACAGTACATCGGGTCGCCTTGTAGGCGCCCCAGGGCATTTAGGAGCACCAGGAGCAGCAGGAGGAGGCGATTGCCACGAACTGGAGGAAATTGCAGTGGTTTCCAGTAGTGCAGATCCTCTGCATCTCAAGTACGGCAGCGAACTAGCGGGAAATCCACTCAACGCTTGTAATGGCCCGAGGCTGGTGCCTGGTGAGTGTAACTCAAAAAATGCTGATTAATTTTGAGGGAATTAGTGGGGAAAAGGGTAGGGAAACTATTGTTTCCCAAAGAACCATTGTGACCAACTGAAGAGGAATGTGGGCCAACAAATGCGCATACAGCGCAAAATTCCTGCAGTACGATTTCATTAAATCGCGAATTGTAAAGTGCTGGGCGCGTTTGTTGAAGACGAACGAAAAAACCCGTTCCCCTTTTCATTTCCTGTTGAATTAGAGGCGACTGTTGCGTGTTGGCGGTTTCCATGTTTCGCCTTTTCAAATAGAAACTTCTCCAACGAACGTTTGGCCCGAAAAGATAACACATATTAATGGGGCCATTTGAACAGCACGAAACAGCCGCCTGCTGGAAATCTCTATATGGCATTTTGTTAACGTTTAATTAATTTTATTTGCCTGTGAGGATTGATTTTCAATGGTAAATATTCCCGTTACTTCAGGGCTTTATTCAACCACAAAAATTGCGCTTATATTTGTTTTACGCAGGGGAAATTGAAACTATTTGGCCCCTAGTTTGACTAACACAAACACAGTTTTAATTTTTTTGTCAATCGCTGGGGA